GTTTCAGCTGCTACATTTAATATACTATAATAGATCACAATATAAGCGCATGTATTTCACACATTTGTTTGAATATTTATCTTTTTATTTATTTACTCCATCACGTGTGAAGACTGCTGACAGGATGTCTGTATTTGAAAATAGAAAAAACTTCTGTAGAAATAGATAGATGATGTGTTTGTAACTTCATCAATGAACTCAGAATTACCTGTTAAAGAGAGAGGGGATATAATACCCAAGATTGTAAAAGATCTCTTATCAAATCTATGAGTCAAGAAATATGCATAAAATGGGAACTAGCCACTTTAGAAAAATATATCAAGGAAAATATCTCACTAAAAGGTTTAAGGTATACTAAATACCCCACCTTCAATCACAATGAACAAGAGTTCATGGTTGAATGGACAGAAATGTTAGACTAATTTGCTTTAAAATTGATGAATTTAATTGTTAAACAGAGAAATGTAACATTAAAAAACTAGACAAAGAAATAAATGAATTACAGAATTTTCTACTTAATCATACTAAAAGTAAGAAGTATGAAACAATAATAGGGGAAATACAACATATTTTAAACAAAGTGTAAAGAGACACCATATAAATAAAAAAGAAAAAATACAGGAGAGATTGATATGACTTTGACCATAATCAAGTAAGATCATACCAAAAATCCAAGCAAGAAAATCCTAGATATACGTATCCACACAAGTTTCAACATATATATCCCAAGAGTTCTCAGTAAAATTGGGTTAGAAATTTCCCAATGAGAAATTTCGATACAAGAGAGAAAGGGAGCCACAACCTAAGTTCCAATGTACAAAAGAAAAGAAAACCCTCAATAAGAAAGAATGTTGACAATTCCTCTACAATCCATGCCAATACTGAGAGAAAAGATAGGCAATGTAACTTTAGGGAGTCTAGATACTTATCCCCAAGAAGGAGAGATAGAGAGCAAGATCCAAATAATCCTATCACCACTCAGAATTGATTTGTGGTTCTTACAGATTCTGAGAGAGACCAAGGTATTTTCAGAATGCGAGACTCAGAGACAAACACAATACCTAGCCACCTCTACCCAAAGGAGGTCCCTATACCCGAATTCACCCTACAAGAGGAGACAAAGTATAGAAGAAGGGGAAATAGAGGAGGACAGAGGATTAAGGAAAGACAAAAGAGATTGAATATAGAACAATCAAAAGTTTTTAATTTATCAAGCAAACCATTGACACCAGCTCAGAATTTAGTTTTAAATAAAGGATTGAAATTTGTACATACAAAAGAAATTGACACGTTTGAGATGTATATAGATCTTAACAAGTTTAAGAGGCAGTTATATCTCAAAAAATGTTTTTTTAAGAAGTGACAGACATTCTATTATAGAATCATCACAATCAGAGTTTACCCATACTGCCCTGAAGGACCGATCAACCTTTTTTCCACAAAATTATATATCAGAGGATATGACAGGCTTTGAGAAAGCAGTTATGCAAGAGATAAATAAAATTGAAACCAAAAAGAAAAGCAAGAAAAATGTAAATAAGAAAGAATAGTTAACATTAAAGGAACTTCAAAAAGATCAACAGATAGTCATCAAACCTGCGGACAAAGGAGGAGGCATAGTGGTGATGGATGCTAATAAGTATACTCAGGAAGGAATGAGATTGGTTAGCGACATCACCACTTACCGAAAATGCCCTGGAAATCCAACTAAGGAGATAGTTAAGATGTTTAATGATTTTTTTAAAGAGGGTAGAGACCAAGGAATCCTTAACGATCAAAATATAAATAATTAAACATACAAAACCCTAGGATTCCAGTGTTCTACCACCTGCCAAAAAATGCACAAACATTCAACCAATCCGCCAGGCCGTCTGATAAGTCTCTGGAATCAATTTGATTTCCAGTAGACTATTGATAGATTACTGCCTTCAACCTGTTGTTCAAAAAACACTGAGTTATTTAAAAGACAGTTTAAATATTCTTCAAGTTTTAAGAAATATTATTTGGAAAGAAGATTACATATTAGTAACAGCGGACGTGAGTTCACTGTATACTATTATGCCACACACTAGAGGCAATTAAGCAGTTGATTATTTTTTTACATCAATCACAATTTACGTAAACATCAATCAAGAACAAATCAAGTTCATTATACAGGGTATAGATTTAATTTAGCATAGCAACTTTTTTTGGTTCCACAATTAATTTTATTTACAAATTTGTGGCAATACGATGGGAACAAGGTTTGCACCCAGATATGCAAATTTGTTTATGGCCCTTTGGGAACAGATTTTTATTTTGCAAAATGAAGACTGGGGTGCAAACCTTATTTCCTATCACCGCTATATAGATGACATCTTTTTATATGGAAAGGTTCTGAAGAAAGTTTGAAGCTGTTTTTAGTATTCATAAATTTCAACAATTGGGGAATAACTCTAGTAGCCAATTTTAATAATTATAGTGTGAATTTTTTTAGATTTAAATATATATATTGAGAATAGTGAAGTAAAAACTTGAACATATCTTAAACCTGTAGACGTAAATAATTATATCCATCTACAAAGTTGTCATTTCTCTCCATGGTTATTAAATATACCTAAATCACAATTCCTTTGGGTTTGAAGAAATTTTACTGATATCGCAAACTTTGACATCCAAGCAAAGAGATTGAAAAGACAATTTTTGGAAAAAGGGTATGAAGAAACTACACTCTAAATAGCAATATAGGAAGTTAAAGTAAAAGATAGGACAACACTTCTTGAATATAAGGCAAGAGAAAAGGGTTCTGGACTCAATATACATTTTATTTATAATTTTAATTCTAATAATAGAGAATTAAAAAAAGATTTAAAATAAGTTTTGGCCAATTTTACGAGGGGGCCCAGTGCTATACCATCTGTTACCCGAAAAACCCACTATTATATTTAGAGGTGTCCCAAACTTAGCCACTAGACTTACACATAATCATACGAGAGAGAAAAAACAAAAAAAACTTTCTTTGGATGCGGTGTATGTATAGCCTATCGACAAACAGGAAGTACGAAGAGACACATAACCATGTTCAATATCCCTCATAAACAAAAAGTATATAGGATAAAAAATCGTATTACTTGTCATAGAAAGCAAGTGATTTGTTTGTTAAAATGCCTGTGCAACTTATATTATGTGGGTAGGACTAAGAGACTAAGAGATCCTTATATATAAGAATCAACAAACACATAAGTAATATCAAAAAAGATTTCGAACAACACAGTGTATCAATGCATTTCAAACAAACACATAACTGTGACCCAAAATGTCTAACATTCCTAGCTATTCAAAAAGTAGAGACAAATTGGAGAGGGGATGACATTATAAAAAAATTGGGTCAGACATATTTGATGGATCTTTGATTTGCATACCTTAACCCCACATGGTCTAAACTCAGACTTTGAATTGTGCCATTTCTTATGATTATTTATCAATTCATTTATCAATTATATTTAATTTTATTTGCCAAGAGTTCTATATTGGTTCATTTTTTTAACCCAATATGCAGTTTTAATATAATATATATATATTTTTTTTTTTTTTTTACATAATGGAATAGCATTTTTAACCAAGTTTTCACACACAGATTTTTAACCAATTCTTTTAATCAAATTCTGGCATTTCCCATTTTTAGGATAATATTTACAAATACCAATATTTTATCTTACAGCCACAGTAGGTACATATCATTATATTCAATGAAAAACTTTTGTTTTTTAGTAAAGAGATCTCTTTTTGTCTTTGTATAATACATATAGATATAGAATATGCTATATTCTACACTTTTAATAGCACTGCACTAATAACATTTGGTGTTCTAGGGGATAACCACTTTAACACCTAGCTTGCATGTGTTTTTAAGTATTCTATTTAGTGGGTGATTTTGGAGCACCCACACAGTGTTTCAGCTGCTACATTAAATATACTATAATAGTTCACAATATAAGTGCCTGTATTTCACACATTTGTTTGTATATATGTCTGTCAAGGGTTCCAGACTGTAACCGCAGCTGGTTCCCTTATTTACCACTATGACGTCTTAAAGCATAGAACCATACAGATATCTTAGCCATAATTTTATATAGTTAGTAAGAGATCCTCTATTTAACATATATAAATAATTGAGAATACAATATAAAATAATGATTATATTGGACGCAATAAATGTTTGTCTTTTAGATATTTATTATATAAAATATAAATATAGACATATAAAAATCTATTACAATAATTTATAGCAGAGTTTATAAGATTAAACTAAATGCTTGCAATTATTATTAACATACCCTCCTGAACATGTCATCATGTCAGCCTCCCTGTCATTTTAAGGTGGAGCAGCGTCTGTGTCCTAATCTCTCCTCTCTCTGTGTCTTAACATTTAAAGGTACACCTATTTATACTTTAGGTGTCTTCATTTTAGGGTTACCGTAGTTTATATATGAAAAAGTAACACTTCTTTTACTTTTTCTATTTTAGGACCTCCCTTAACTTGGCAAAAATACAACGCCATAACACGTCATTAAAAATTCACTGACTTAGTGCAAGATGGCACCTTGAAGTCTGAACATCTTTATCTATTTAGGGTTACCACAGTATATTACGTACTAAAAGTCATAGCACAGCCTTGAAGCTTGTTTATGTATTATTATTGTATTTTGACATATTATGCACTGAAGGTAAGTAAGAGGTTATTGCTTAAAGAAACGTATGAAAAACAAAATGTTCCATTTCTAACACCTTGTCAATTTGCAATATCTCTTAAAGACAAAGTACACAGTTAGAGGAATACAATATTTCATTCTAAAACTTGTAAAATTTGCATTTTCCCATAACAAAACCCTATTATGTACCCCTAGCATATTGCAAAACCTAGCTATCAACGCTTCTATTTTGTGCATATATCTAATTTTCATAATCATGATCTGAATTGATTGGATAGGTACACTTAGCTACACAGAGGATTGCAGCTAGTTTTGTGACAATCTAAAAGCCGTCTGGGAGTAGAAGCCATTCAACAGGAGGCTTTGTGGTGAGGCACAAACCTAGGACATCAACAGCCCAAATACCTTTGTCCAAAAGAGGGAGACTGTGATTTTCCCACCACTTTTGGCAATAAGTTATCCTCCCTCCACTAGCCCTGAACTATAGGAGACAGCAAGCAGGGGAGTTATGGCTGTGTCTGACAGGGACCAAGTGAAAAACACTTGTTTATTCTCCTTGATTGACATGCAGATGGAGACACTATGAGAGATATGCAGCATCCCACCTTTGCCCATCAAAACCCAAATCTCTCTCCCAGAAGAGCTGATGTTTTGTTTTACCAGCAGGACACATAGTCTGAAGTATTGATTTTATAGTGGATATGGACCCTTTATCCTAGGAACAACATTTGAAAAGGTGCTTGAACAACATCACTGGTGGGATTTGGCCACACAGTTAAATTTTAGATAAATTCCACGATAACTTTGAAATTAGTCATCTTGGCTGGTGGCAATCCATATTCAACTACAAATTCCAACAAGGGAAAAACCAGGCTGTCATAAGCAATATTGAATATTTTACCAAGATATTTAATGTTCCTACTCACAGTACCATTCACGTCAGTAGAAGAACTTTTCTTTATACAAACTGAAAGAATAGATCTCCCTCTTCATCTATCTTTTGCAAAAGAGGATAGATAAAAACAATTAATTAATAAGTGCCCCAGCCCTTCATCCACCCCTGTACTTTGAGGAGGAGCATATGGGTGATCTTTAAAGGAAATTTATAGTGTTAGGAATACAGTATTCCTAACACTATAGTGCCTCCCTCCCTTTTGCCCCCCCTTTATTTACTCACCTGAGTAAAAACCCTTTATTTATTCACCCTATTCCAGCACCAATCTCCCTCTGCACTGGGTTTGCCCTTTGCCTCCTCCAATGTCATGGGAGGAACTAATGCGCATGTGTGGAAAGCACTGCACACATATTAAGCCTTCCCTATAGGAAAGTACTATAAAATCCCTATGGGGATTTCACTGATGCTCTAATGCTGGATGTCCTCATGCAGAGTACGAGGGCATCTAATGTTGTTTAAGGGACTCAACGTCCGCTAGAATCTAGGAAGTGCCTCTAGCGGCTATCTGGTAGATACATCAGGCTCGATATAAAATGTCTCAAAGAGCCCAAAACATGGTGAGATATAATTCAATTTGTTCACAAGTCCACAAAGGATCTGTAAAGGATCTATAAATAAAGAGTAGGGAGAGCATTTGCACATAGATTTTGGCATTTGGTACACAAAATGACGTTGCAATGGTTGTATGGATGGGCTTAAGTGCGAGTAGTGAAAATTTGAATGGTAATAGTGGCTGGGCTCGATGTTCCCTGGACAAATGGTTACATTTTTGAATGAATGGGAGATTTTCAGGGTTAATGAAAAATGTTAATTCGTTATATAGATAAAACATTAAAATACAAAAATACAATCATATAAATTATTTTGTAATTCATTTCAGAAAGCTAAGAATATTAATCCGTTAATTACTTTATCTTTTAGCATGCGTAATTGCGAGTTACATCATTCATGAAATAATCTGACTCATGAGATAACCATACAGCATCTTCTAAAAGTAAAACTACATCTGATGTTACATACAGCTGCTATTTTATAAGAAAAAAGTGAAACGCTGCTGGTTGGGAAGGGAAGCAGAGGATGTGGAGATGTGCATTTTTTTAAACATTAAAGAGAAAAAAATTAAAATAAATTAAAATAGATGAAAGACATGAAATCACAATATAACTGTAAACCAACCCTTATAGTGTACCTAATATTTCCAGGTGCCTTAAGTATTCCAATAGTATTTTAAAATATAATTAGTTTCTAATTAATATTGTGGTAGTGCTGCTGGTATATTGTAATTGTGAAGTGCTCTTGGAAAGCTTCAGGATTTTGCACCATTAGAAACACACTCTATATTTAGCATAGAGGTTAAAAGGCTAATAACAATATGAAGGCAATTTTTTTTTTATTGAGAGAAATAGGCCTAAAGATCACTATTTGTACATGTTTTTCTAAATATATGTTTGTGCATGATTATGCAATACCATTGTCTACTGCAGAGGAAGGGAAACCCATAAGGGAAAGTTGGTGAGTTTGAATGTTTTATTTTTTTTAAAGCCCTATGGACTTGAATGTTCATTTTAATTTGTGATTTTAAATTCCACCTATGGCACCAACATAGTAGATGATTTATTGGAAAAAGGTGGCTAAGGACAGTCACTAGCTGTTTATTTTATTCACAGAATAAGTCAAGTGAGAAATTAACAACAGAAGGGAAATAAGAGTTATAAAAAAAAATCTATACTTATATATTTAATAAATATACAATATATACATATAGATTTTTTTTTTAATATTCTTTATTTTTGCAATGCGTTAAGACAAGTTTTGTGGGCATTACCACATGAGTAGACATAACAGTAAATATTTAAAAAACTATAATATATGGTATGTCAAGATTGTCACACTTTTTTGTTTTGTTTTGAAAATAATAAACAAGAGGAAAACAAGATGAGCACTATCTCTGCAGGTAGTAGCAGGTTAAAGGACCACTATAGTGCCAGGAAAACATACTCATTTTCCTGGCACTATAGTGCCCTGAGGGTGCCCCCACCCTCAGGGACCCCCTCCCGCCCTGCTCTGGAAAGGGGAAAGGGGTTAAAACTTACCTTTTTCCAGCGCTGGGCGGAGAGCTCTCCTCCTTCTCTCCTCCTCCGTTCCGCACCGTCGGCTGAATGCGCACGCGCGGCAAGAGCTGCGCGCGCATTCAGCCGGTCGCATAGGAAAGCATTTACAATGCTTTCCTATGGACGCTGGCGTGCTCTCACTGTGGAAATCACAGTGAGAAGCACGCAAGCGCCTCTAGTGGCTGTCAATGAGACAGCCACTAGAGGCTTTGGGGGAAGGCTTAACCCATTAATAAACATAGCAGTTTCTCTGAAACTGCTATGTTTATTAAAAAATGGGTTAACCCTAGCTGGACCTGGCACCCAGACCACTTCATTAAGCTGAAGTGGTCTGGGTGCCTAGAGTGGTCCTTTAAGATGTAGATTTTAGTGCGTGTTGTGTACTGGCTCCATTTATATTTTAAGGAAAATATGCAAAGCTAAAACTAGCTAAATAGTATACACAGGAATAAACATATCGTATGTGGAATTCTCTGCCTGAAGAAGTGCTTTTATCAGAGTCCATACAGATGTTCAAACAGCTACTAGATGCATACTTGTAAAAACAGAATATTCAAGGATATAATCTTTCAATGTAGGGTAATAACTGCTTGATCCAAGGATAAATCTGACTGCCATTCTGGGTTCAAGAAGGAATTTTTTTCCTAGCTTGTTGCAAAATTGGAAGTGCTTCAAAATGTTTTTTTTTGCCTTCTTTTGGATCAACACCAAAAAAACAAATGTGAGGAAGGCTGAACTTGATGGACACAAGTCTCTTTTCAGCTTTGTAACTATGTAACGGAAATTATACTGCAGTACACACTGCAGGAACATAAAATAAGATAATGATAAAATAACCTGTGTAACGGCCACCCAGGTTGCTGGAGGGTTGTATGCCGCTGGAGACTTCCTTTTCCCTGAAAGAGGCTGTGCTGCAGAGTATTCCCGATATCCCATCAGCTGGATCAGAGTAGAGAGAGAAAGGCAGAGCTCTTACAAGAGGTAGTGATTTAGCTGGATTCAGGTTCCCTTCAATAACGAGACCAGGCTATGTATATACTCAATTTTCATAACACCAAAACTATACATGCAATTTTAATAAAACTTGTGTTTTCCGAACAAGCATAACTATGGGACAAACATACTCAAAAATCATACAAATCCGTTCAGGGGTTCGGGAGATAGCTGAAAGTCCCACCCCTGCCCGGCCACACATGAGGCTCCTACCCAAAATAGTTCCATGCATTCAGCTGGTGCGGCCGGTCCCTTTTCATATGTTAAAAATACCAAACAGTTATTCTTTTTATTGTTCGTGAGTTTGCTGGTCGTGTGCCGCCCCGTTCGTGCAACACTTTTACCGAATGCCGCCTCGTTTGTGTAATTCTGGGCGAAACTAAGTGGTCCTGGAAGTCGCAGCTGTGTTTGGGAGTTTGAGTGTCCAGGCAGTCGACGACCAAACACAGCTGAACGCATTCGACAAAACATGTTCATACATACGAATGGACGGCCACCCAGGGAACCACTTAGACTGCTTGCGGTTTGCAGTCTGGCACAGAGTCAAGAGGGTAAATGGTGGCACACGCCTGGGCTGGGTGGTCTCCCATTCGGCAGTTTGTTCATGCATACAAATGGGTTAGCATTGTCATTCGTTTTCCCATTTGTATGTTTAAATATAACACTGGTAACAAATCCAGGGGGTTACACTATTTCAAGTCTGTTGGCCAGGAAATAACAGGGGTTCTGTTACAACCTGCTATCTCGATTTAAACCGGAGACTAACATGATCATATAGGGTGAATACAACAGGCTAAAAGACTCAGTTGTAGCTGGTAGTATTAAAGCGGCACTGTCATGGCCGAATCAAGATTTTTTTAACCCCCTTCCTGTGGCTGCTCACTGCTGTAACCCCCCCTTTCCAACAAGTGGCCCCATGGTGGGGCATCTATTAACTAGCAGGGGTGGAATAGTGTCCCCTCCAGCCCCCACCCGTGCCCTGCGAGTGGAGGCTATGCAAATAAATGGGGAACATATGCTCCACCTCGGCCCAAACCCATGAGCAGCGGGTGGGGGCCCTAAAAGACAATGGGAGGGAACCTATTGTTCCCCCCCAGCCCCCACCCATTAGCAGTAGGTGAGGCCATAAATGACAATGGTATGGAATCCCCAAGACCCTAGTTACCACACACCCGAATAAAATTAAATAAAGCCCTAAAATAGTGAGAGGAGAGACATTAAAACTAAAAACCTGTAAATAAAAAAAATACTTACCATTTGATTCTTTTTACTGAAACCTTCTTTTTTAGCCCCAAAAAAATCCACCAGAAAAAGAAATCCACAAGAAAAAAAAAATCCAGACGCTAAAATTGTTTTTCCATCTTTAACCAGTGAGGGCATGGCAAACACTGAGCTTTCCCAGACCCTGCAATTTGACTTAGAGTGCTCTGATTGGTTGCTTTAAGCCAACCAATCAGAGTGCCCTGAGTCATTTTATACAAGTGGGAAAGTCATCTTACACAGCATGGGAAAATTCCAAAGAACTATGATTGGTTGGATTTACCTGTCAGTCTCTTCATTTACTTAAACCAACCAATCAGAGTGCTCTAAGTCAAATTGCAGGGCATGGGAAGGCTTTATAAGCCTTTCCCCGCCCTGCGGAGCTCAGTCTGCACCGTGCCCTCGCTGGGTGAAGATGGATTACTTTTTCAGTGTCCGGATTTTTTTTTCGAGAGCAGCAGGCCGCATCAAAGGAACAGCAGCGGCTTTGGAAATTTGGGGCTTGCTTTCAATTCATAGCCTGGCAAATTTTATCAGAGTTAGCTACAAAGCGAGTTCTCTATGTCTGGACCTTTTGAGTTGCCTCACTGCTGAGATACTGCATCGCAGTGGCCATTTTAGACCTACAATGCGGTTCACCAGAGCAGCTGGAGAAGAATTGAATAGCTTGAATAGCTGTCCCAGTGGGGACCGGGATATCCCCCACTGGTCCAAAGGAGGGTAACAGGGCTGAATGTAGATGGATCCATTGCAGATGCACTCCACCAGCTGAGAGATAGGCCACTTTTTCCAACTTATAGATTGGCAACCCGCTAGGCCTCAGTGTCCAGCGGGTATAAATGTAATAAAATGATGCAGTTCAAACCTGCAAGGTGTGGTTTGCAGAGGTGAGTATATGACAGTAAAATTAGGCTTTGTCCCTCGGGGTTTACAGTGGAATAAACCAGTAAATAGCACTATCTTGCAGGAGCAACTAAAAAAACATGTCTGGCCATCTTGGGTGTCAGGCCCCGTCCCTCTAGGTTGTTTTTTTTTTTGTTGTTTTTTTAATACTTCTCTTTTTTCTTCTATTGGTTAATTTTTATGTTATGTGTGTATTTTTTTAGTATAAAGTTTGTTTAACCCCTTAAGGACACAGATTCAGAAGCTGGACATACACTTTTTTTCTGTTTGAGCTAAACCACAACTTGTATTTTTCTTATTTATTACACCAACACAAATTATATACCACTTTTTAAATGAGAAAAGGTGCTTTAATTTAGGTGACATATGTACTTTAAAGAAAAATGAAACAAAAATTTTATAAAATAAAAGCAAAAATATTTTGCTTGGTTAATATCTCCAGCTTAGGAAAAATGATTCAACAGAAATTCATGTATGTGTCTTAATTTAAAGAGAAGATAATATGTGTAGGATTTCATTTTTTTTTTTTTTTAGTTAAATATCACAAATTACAAGGAATAAAATAAAATTTAAATGTGAAATAATTTTGGAAGTTGGTTTGTTTGTCTTGGAAGTTTAATACCCATCACATCTCTGCACTAGTGATGTCGCGAACACGAAATTGGAAAAGTTATTTCAAGGGGACTAACACCTGGACTGTGGCATTCCGGATGGGGATCCATGGCAAAACTCCCATGGAAAATTACACAGTTGATGCAGAGTCTGGTCTTAATCCATAAAGGGCAGAAATCACCTAACATTCCTGAATCACAATTGATATGGATTGATACCTGACATATGACATACTGACACAGAGCAGAATAGGGACTGTTCCCCCTACATAGGGTCACTTGACAGGTATGGATTGACACCTGTCCTCAGAGACCATGATACACAGGGACACAGAGCAGAATAGAGACTGTTCTCCTACATAGGGTCACTTGGCAGATATGGATTGACACCTGTCCTCAGAGATCATGATACACACTGACACAGAGCAGAATAGAGACTGTTCCCCCTACATAGGGTCACTTGGCAGATATGGATTGACTCCTGTCCTCAGAGCCTCTGATACACACTGACACAGAGCAGAATAGAGACTGTTCCCCCTACATAGGGTCATTTGGCAGATATGGATTGACACCTGTCCTCAGAGCCCATGATACACACTGACACAGAGCAGAAGAGAGACTGTTCCCCCTACATAGGGTCACTTGGCAGATATGGATTGACACCTGTCCTCAGAGACCATGATACACACTGACATAGAGCAGAATAGGGAATATTCACTAAATGCCAAACATTGTTATACAGGGGAATATTCAGTAAATAAGGATAAGGGGGAACCTACTGTCCTCCCCCCCCGGCCCCCACCCCTGGTGGGGGCCATAAATCTCAATGGGGGGGGACCTACTGTCCTCCCGCCTGCCCCCACCCGTGAGCTGTGGGTGGGGGCCATAAAAATAATGAGGGGTGACCTACTGTATGATGTTGTATCGATCAGGTAGTGTAAGGGTTACGCCCGCTTCACAGTGACAGACCAAACTCCCCGTTTAACGCACCGCAAACAGTCCATTTGCACAACCGCAAACTCCCAATTTGCACAAGGTTGGATACCAAGCTAGCCATGTCCCGTTCCTTGTCCTCACTGATGTCATTGAAGGTCTCTTCCTCCACCCAGCCATGTACAACACCAAGGGTCCCCGAAAGGTGACAAGCCCCCTGGGACGCCTGCTGTGTTTGGTCTTCCACCTCCTCAAAGCCACCTTCCTCCTCTGACTCCTCTTCTTCAGACTCCTCTCTCTGCGTTGCCTCTCTCTGCGTTTATTATAAGGTGTGTTAAGTAGTATTATTCCTATCAGTTTAATCCCTGTTACGTCCCCTATCAGGGGACGTGTATATGGCATCGATTTTAGGAACCAGGAGATGGAAAAAGATGCTTGGTTGGTCCTCCTACTTCAAATTTGGGGCACTGCGCTTGCAATCTAATGTGCCACCAGATAGGAGTGGTGTGTTAAGTAGTACTATTCTTATCAGTTTAATCCCTGTTACGTCCCCTATCCGTTGATGTAGAGCAAGACGCAGCAGCAGAAGAGGACTCAGCCGAGGAGGTTATGGAAGAGGATGGAGTAGGAGGAGTAGAGGAGGTGGCAGCAGGCCTGCATGCAAGTCATGGCGGTGTCACCAACTCCTCTGCAGAGCCACGCATCCCATGCTTGGCAGCCGTCAGCAGGTTTACCCAATGCGCAATGTAGGGGTGGCCTGCCTCTGCCTGTCATTTTTTTTTCGATTAGTGGTACTATGCGTGCAAGCTACTGTGACACCAGATATGAGTGGCACTGTGAACTGGCAGAGGTTGGCAGAGTACACGCTGTGGGGCTGACACCCGCTTGAAGACAACTAACTGCTATTCAATCTATAACAGTGAAAAAAGTTTTTTTGTTTTAAAATGCAAGCTATTGTGACACCAGATATGAGTGGCACTGTGAACTGGCAGAGGTTGGCAGAGTACATGCTGTAGGGCTGACACATCCGCTTTGAGACAACTAACTGCTATTCAATCTATAACAGAGAAAAAAGTTTTTTGGTTTTTAAATGCAAGCTATTGTGACACCAGATAAGAGTGGCACTTTGAACTGGCAAAGGTTGGCAGAGTACACGTTGTAGGCCTGACACACGCGCTTGAAGACAACTAACTGCTATTCAATCTAGAACAGTGAAAAAAGTTTTTGGGTTTTTAAATGCACGCCATTGTGACACCAGTGAGTGAGTGGTGGCACTGGGCAAGTGGGCACAGTATCCACTGTGAGCCTGACGCAGAAGCTGGCAGACAACTAACTGCTATTCAATCTATAACAGTGAAAAAAGTTTTTGGGTTTTTAAATGCAAGCTATTGTGACACCAGTAAGTGAGTGGTGGCACTGGGCACAGTATCCACTGTGAGCCTGACACAGAAGCTGGCAGACAACTAACTGCAATTACATTACACAGAAAAAAAAATAAAAAGCAGACTGATGTTCTAGCCCTAAAAAGGGCTTTTTGGGGTGCTGTCCTTACAGCAGAGATCAGATGAGTCCTTCAGGACTGTAGTGGACACTGTATACCCTAACCTAGCTATGCCCTATCTAATCAACAGCAGCTACACTTTCCCTCCTCTCACTAAGCATGCAGCTTGAGAATGAATGTAAAATGGATGCTGTCCAGTAGGTGGGAGGGTTTGCTAGGGAGGGTGTGCTGCTAATTGGCTGGAATGTGTCTGCTGACTGTGAGGTACAGGGTCAAAGTTTACTCAATGATGACGAATAGGGGACGGATCGAACCGCGCATATGTTCGCCCGCCGTGGCGAACACGAACATGCTATGTTTGCCAGGAACTATTCGCCAGCGAACCGTTCGGTGCATCACTACTCTGCACCACCTCTAATCTCTTCACTGTTCCATTTCCTTTGTCTGACCACCATCTGCTAACATTTGACATCAGCATACCACATACCCAAATCTCAACAGCCTCAACTCTCCAATCTCGCAGAAACCTCAGCTGCCTTGATCTCCAGCATTTCTCCACCACACTTCAAACTCTCCTTTTACCCATCTCAAATCTAATTTAACTCTGCAATCTCACTCTACAACTCAACTCTTTCCTCTCAACTCGACATCATGGCACCTCCTACAATTAAATGCAGCAAGCGTCCCCAATTACAACCCTGGCACACAAAGCTGACCCGTTACCCCCAAAAATGTTCTAGACCTGCTGAATGCTGCTGGAGAAAGTCTCACCTTGCATCTGACTTCCTCCACTATAAATATATGCTGCGCTCCTACAGCTGGGCTCTTTCCGCTGCAAGAGTAAATGACTTTAACACCCTCATAGGTACACTGTCCCATCAACCCAAACACCTATTTCACACTTTTGATGCTCGTCTTCGCCCTTTTCTCCCCCTCCTTCTAACACCTCGTCCACCACAAACTTTGCATCTCACTTCACTGAGAAGATCTCTACAAACAAAGATGAGATAATTTCTCTCCTTCCCCTACCAAAATATCACCCAACCCTACTCCCTCCACCACTTTACAGTCATTCGCACCTGCAACAGCCGAAGAGGTTTCTGCTCTGCTTCGGTCCTCCTGCCCCACACTTGTTCCCTCGATCCTCTTCCCTCGTATCTCATCCACACTTTTCCCTCTCTTGGTCTTCCTCTCACTAAAATTTTCAATATCTCTCTTTCCTCTGGTGCATTTCCCTCAACCTTCAAACATGCAACTGTTACCCAGATTCTGAAAAAGCCCAGCCTTGAACCCAACTTCCCATCCAACAACTGCCATATCTCGCTACATCCATTTGCCTCCAAGATCCTCAAGAGAGTTGTGTACACCAGACTTACTGACTTTCTCGAATCCAACTCTCTGCTTGACCCCCTTCAGTCTGGGTTCCGTGCTGGTCATTCTGTAGAAACAGCTGTAACCAAAGTATCCAACGATTTAATTGATGCTAAATCACAACACTGTGATGGCTTAAATGGCTGAAGGGTTAAATGCATTTACTAGATTAGAAAAATAAAAGGGCCTACACTCCCAAACACATTTAAGTATCCACATATGTACTTTCTACTCACAGTCAAAGAGTGGCAAGATACCCATACAGACATACTCAGAGCTGGTGCAATGCTTTTTGACTACACCCAATTTCTCCCGCATCTTCACTTGTGTGTCCCTTAATCCCCATTTTGAATTTCTTATCCTCCTTTGTGTTTCTTATCCTCTCTTCTGAATGTCTTACCCTCAGGGCTGGATTAAGAGCCCATTGGGCCTAGTGCTGACAATTATGAAGGGCCTAATGACAGAATCCTATTGACAGAAAACACTAAAACAGTTATACCTCCCAAGCGTCATGTATCTGGTGGAGGTGGTGCTGGGTGGAAACTCACAGGATATAGTGATCAGAAAACACATAACCAATACTAAACTCTCACTTTCATCTTTCAAGTAAATCCATATCCCCTTACAGCAGTGTCCAGTGAAGTAGGATTTTGGTGGGTGATATAAAGGGTATGCCACTGATGTGAATCACGTAATGTAAAAGGGGGCATGTTTGCACAATTAATTAGATGGTCAGCCTGGTGTGAATGCATGTCAGGCTGCCCTCCAATCATGCCGGATGACCATCCAAGGGCATTCTGT